ATATATATATATATATATATATATATATATTTTAATTGAAAGCATGGTTTTACATTAAAAAATACAGACAACTGAAGAATAAACTCATCTTTTGGCAAATCAACGTTTCACCTAATCATAATCATCTTTGTTTAGATACATAAATTAAAAACAAAGTTTTTTAAAAAAAAAAAAAACTTAAAACATGCTGAATAAGAACTTTTCAATTTGTTTTATTGTCACTACAATGTTACTCATTTATTAGTACATTAGAAACTTTATATAAATTCCATATTTGTATTATTGAAAGATTAAAACTCTAAAAATGTAAATTATTTATATAATTTTTTTTCCTTATGTGGGTGCAGTTGAGATTTAGTTATATTTAGTTATTTTTTGTAGTTTAATTATTTATTTTGCAGTTACAGTTTTTATTAGGTTTATTTATTAATGTTTTTATAGACTAAGTCACACTTGACATCAGTGGGAGAGCGAGATGAATAAATATTGTAAATTAAATTTTAGTATAAGGTAACTAAAATTACAATGCTTTATAAATTAAGTTCTTTTTCTACCTCCTTTATTCTTTTTTGTCAATTTTTTGTTTACGTTTTTGGCCTTTATTAGTATTAATTTAGAATTTGATGATGTAAGATTTGAATGAAATGTATGAAGGTATTATATTTTAAAATATCTTCCCATGTGAGGTAATATATATTGCTGAAATTGTTCTCATATGTCTATCTTTTAGACTTGATGATAAAGTATATTGAGATTTATTAACTTGCAATTTAGTTTAGAACTTCAAAGTAATTTTGGTTTGGGTTTAAGAAAATGGTGCATTTTAGAACATAATATAAATACTTTTAAAAGTAAATATGAAGTTAACATGAACTTTTAAACTTAATTAAATTATAAATCATGACAGATTACTTTGTTAAAGGTATGGTAATCAGTGATGGATTTTTTAAAAAGTATTTTGAGAGTGTCAACTTTTTTTTATAAGTGTATATAAATTTAAGGGGGTTAAATATACAAAATTTAATAAAATTAAAAAATAATAATCTTATTTATGTATTAATTTTTGTTTGTATAAAAGAATGAGGGATTAAAATCATTTATACTGATCCATACAACAATTTTATACAAACTATTGTTAATTTGGCCTTTTAAGATAATTATTACAAAAGCAAATAAATTCACAAATAGGTCAGTGTATTTATGTACACTATGAATGCATATTTAAGTTATGACCATATATAAAGAGTATTTGTTGAACAAAAGTTGTGTTCAATTACTATTTATGATATTTTACTAAGAATATGTTATAGTATAAATAAATCTATCACAAAACTGAATGCTTTAAACTAGGCCCAAGCCCATTAATTATCTTAGTGTTTATATCTAAATGTTCATAAATATTTACTTATATATATTTTCAGCTGCCAGAATTTAGAAGTCATTTAACTTGAGCAGTTCAAAAGCATTGTTCAACAAAAGTGTGATGATATATATTTTTTTAGATGTACAATCTCCCATTAATTATCATCACCACTATGTATTTATGTGCTAAATACCTTATGATAAAAAAATAAAACAAAAGCAAAAATATCAATGTGTGTATGGAAACAAAAAATAAATAAAACAAAAGAAAAAATATCAATGTGTGTATGGAAACACTCTTGTATACATTTTCTAATGACTTGTAAAATATTATATTTTATTTTCAAATACTTCTGTGAGATCATGGGGTTAATCTGAAAAGTCTATATGAATAAAAATACAACAATATAAAAAATATAAATTATTATAAATTGATTATTATCTCCTAAAAAAAATTATTATATTTTTTTCTTTTTTTTTTTTTCATTTCCAAAATAATCTAATAAGCTGAGTAAATTAGAGGTATACTTATAACTTCTTCATACATGTTTATATATTCTTCATATATGTTTATATTTGTTTATTTACTTGTTTCATTGTTTTTTTTTTCTTCTATTAATAATATGATTGAAGTGATAGTATGATAAATTGCACAAAAATACAAATATAAATATAATTAGAACACTAATAACTTTAATTTATCATATAAAATAAAAGAGATACAACATTATTTTGCATAACCATACATATAGATAAAAGAAAAAGTTGGCAAAGGCAGTGAAATGAAATGCACCACCCAAAACCCTAGCCAAAGCCAACTATGTAACTACACACACTCAAGATTTCAGATAGAGATTTCAAGATTTCAGATACGATTTCAGACAGAGATTTCAACGCTTTCTTGAAGCAGGTTCCTTCTGAGCATTGAAATAGGTTGTGGCCACAGGGAGACCCAAGTCCAAATCCTTTGCAAAGTTCCTAGTGTTGAAGTTCCCTCTGCTTTCTGGTTGCTCCACCGGACCCATTGGTCCTTTCTGCTCAAACAGCACAAAGATGTAGCGATGGATTCCCACAGGTGGCTTTGGTCCAGTGTATGGCAGGATTTCTTTTCCTGCACGCAACACGATCACTCTATTATTACTTTCTTTTGCATGTAAAACACAATCATAGTTGTCTGCTACAAAACAATCTTAATTGCATGTTATAAGGGGGAAGATTTCAGAGGTTGTTTTTTTCTTTGGAGGGATGAATTTCTGAAACAAAAACAGTGCATTCTTGTGACATGCAAGGGCACGTGTGAAGATATTGTAACACAAGATTCTCTGCACAACACCTGTTAGCTGTTAGCTGTATCTGTGCATGTCTTGATAAAAGATAAATGAATGACAGAAAAAACAAAAAACAATTAATTGATTGAAAAGTTAATGGTTTTTCAGTTTGATTCTTAAAATTAAATTGTAATTATTTCAGAATTAAGTTGTGATTATTTCAAAATTTAGATCTTATTTAGTGTGACTCATGCTCACAGCTGACACATGATGAAGGACACTGAATCCAAACTGTGGTACAGGTGTAGAAAAACCATTTGATGATTTGAAATTCTGTGATTTTTTCAGAAAAAAAAAAAACTGAGAGATGCAAGAGACCTAAATAACTACAGGCATGTTAATTTTTGGCAGGATCGAGTCTAAGATTTTTGTAACCAATAAACATAAATGTTATGAGACCGATCTGATCAGAAAACAAAATGTTCAGAAATCATGCGACACCTATATTTGTGCTATTCAAGCACGAGTTACACGAAGTTTATCTTTCTTAAAAAGAAAAAAAAAATGAAAAAAAAATGGAGCGACACCTATTTGTGCTGTTCAAGCACGAGTTTATTTTTCTTAAAAGAAAAAATTCTTAAAAGAGAATAAAAGAAAAAATTCTTAAAAGAGAATAAAAGAAAAAATTCTTAAAAGAGAATAAAAGAAAAAATTCTTAAAAGAGAATAAAAGAAAAAATTCTTAAAAGAGAATAAAACACCACCTACTTGTGTTATTCAAGTAGGAGTTTATTTTTCTTAAAAGAAAAAATATTTTTCTTAAAAGAAAAAAAAAACGTGCATGCGACATTATCGAACTGTTTTGTTTTTATGAGAAAGTAAAGAGATAGAAGAAGATCAACATCAAAAAAATAAATTTATTTTCTTTGCAGAAAAAGAAAAAACAAAAGTAAACCCATTGTTCTTGCATGCAAGATAATCAAACTTTGCAGATTAAAAGATAAATTTAATTTCTGTAGAAAAAATAGAACTGAACCAGCTGGTGCATGCAACAAAAACAAAGAAAATGTAGATCTAAGAAAATTTCTTGTATACCACGAAAGGGATTTGTGCCACCAGGTATGTCCACCACAATCCTGAAAATTACAACAGAAAATTCGTTTTAATTACAAATTCAGAAATTTTTTTACAAAAACTCAGAACAAAGAAAATAATGAAAAGAAATTCACAAACCAGTGGACCCATTCTCTCATGCTTGGTTCACTGGGGCTTGGTGCATCAGGATCTGTCATAATCTGCATGCAAGTTGAAAAATCCATTGCATGTGAGATCTATCAACAGAAAAAGGGTTTCAGAGAAAAAAAAATTAGCCATGGTTTGATCTTAGGGTTCTTACCAGAGTGTAAAGGCTTTCTTTCTTTCCAGTAAGAGTGAGCTTAGGTGGGTTGACCGAAACGGATGGCTTAATGTCACATCCGTTTGTAACATGTTTCGCCCCGTAATAGACGGACATGTTGACTGACGGAACGAACATATCGACCACATCACCTATTACCCGACCAACTACAAGAGGGTCGACAGATACAGCCATGGCAGCAAAGGAAATGCAAAAGAAGAAACTCAGAAAGAAAGAGCTTATGCTAGAAGCTACAGAGAGTTGGTGATATTGCTCTGAACCTGTAGGGTTTATATAGGAATTTTTTTACATTGAAATGAAAAGCTAAGGTAAAAATCAGGCACCTCTGTTTTGTAAGTTTCTGGGTTAATAATAAAGCCGTGAATCCATGCATGGACCATCTCAAAACCAGAGGCATGCAATGGATGACACGTTTGAGGAGTTCACAGTCATAAAAAACAGTCATCTTCTGCGTTTTGCGACAGCTGGCATAATCATTGTACATTTTGAAATTACTATGTAACTGTCATGGTTGAAATGTGTGATTTGTGCAGTCCACGGCTGAATCGGGGACGAAGGATGAGGGTGCAAGTTGCGTTATGGTAGATGGTGCAGCATGGGAAAATAAATCCTTCAATTTTTTTCTTTGATTTGTCTATAGTGGGGTGGGGTCTGGGCTCTTTGAAGGTTTTGATAAAGAGCAGTGTCATAGATGACCTGGAAGATTCTTTAATGGAGTTAACACTCATAAAGAGATAAATAAATGGTTTATGTCACTTTGTAGAAGGTGACTTCATGCATTTAAGCATTAACTATATATATATATTATACTTATTACTTTTTTCAAATAAAAGAAACATTATTATTTTACCTTTAAAAATATTATTTTAAGTGGATCCCTAATGTCTTTCCCTCAATATATATTATTAGAAGAATACAAAAAGTATAGATCTTCAAAAAATATTGTTTAGTTAATTAAATTTTAGAAGAAAAGATAAAATAATACTTATGTTTATTTTTAAGTGGGTTAATTTGAATAAATATATTTACTTTTATATATATATATATATATATATATATATATATATATATATATAAAAGAATTAGAAAATGATATTTTTAATATTAAAAGTATAAAAATGATATTTTTTCATTACTTTAAAATACATCATCTCTTTAAAACTATATTTTTAGAATTATTTAACATTTTTCTAGGAGTTTTCACTTTCTTTCATCGGTTTAAATATTAGAGATCGTTTAAGTCATCATTGAGGTGGGATCTTCAAATCTATTCGATTAATTTATGTTCTTTCTTTGGTTTGTTGTTTCTCTTGCATGTGTCATATGAGTCTTTTATAATCTATTGATCAATGGTTCTAACGATGTATCCTAATCATGTATTTTTGTGGTTTATGGGAGCAGATCGAGTTCCTTTAATTGTGAGAGCGATTTTAGGTTCTGCAAAGTATATATTACTACGAGTGCACACCTACATTGAATACATATGTCTAAGCATGGATTCAGATAATTAAGTCTAGGGTGAACTGTTTATGTATGTTTATATGAGTTATTATGTTTTATAAATATGTTTAGATTAAATATTTTGGTACATTAACTTACCCTTTCATTTTTGGTTTTTGTTTGTTTTTCTTTTTTTCTTATTTGCAATGATCACCTCACTCGTGTGAACGAACGAAGATATTTAGTTAGATATTCAGTGTAGGACGAGAGCGGTGTTGAAGCTTAAAATATATTGTTGTTTTCTCTTCTATATATTAGCCTTTGACTCAGTATAACATTTCTCTTAGTAGTATAGGACTTTGTTTATATATGTAAATTTTGATGTTATAGTTACATATGAAATAACTGTAACAACCTGATATACATATTTTCTTTAAGTTATTTGTTCTTTCATACGTTGTGTGTGGTGCCTCTACTTAAACTATTAAAATGAGATGTTATACACTATAACAAAATTTAGCAGGGGTTATTTTTTTCATTATCGACGGGTTTAATGGTTGGAAAATGCATTTCCCCGGAGTTACAAAAACCGTCGAGAAAAGCATTATCGGTAAGTAATTACTAGCAGTTTTTTATCTAATTGTCATAATTTTTGGAGGTTTTGGTGAAACTGTCATTATTTACAGAGTTTATACACAACCGTTGGTATTTACGGAGATTATCAGAAACTGTCCCAACTAATTGAGGTTTTGGAAAACGTCGAAACTTACAGGGGTTTCTTAAACCGTCAGAACTTACACCGTCAGAACTTACATGGGTTTCATAAACCATTAGAACTTACAAGGGTTCCAAAACCAATGCAATTTATTGAACACAGTGTCAATTCCATCTAAGTATCTAGAACAAAAAGTTAAACACTCTTCAGCCATGTACCTTTCAACTATTGAGCCTTCACCTTGTGCCTTATTGCATACATAAGACTTCACTTTTCCCAAGTACCTCTCAATGTGATACATCCATTGATATTGGACATGTCTTTCAATCTGTGCATCTTCTACTAAATGCACAATCAAATTAACCATCACTGTAAAAAAATTAAAACGGAATAACCATTTCCATTTGACACAAAATGCGGACAACTCTATCTTGTAATTAGACAAGTTCATCTATCTTTGAAACATTATTAAATAATTGTATAAAAAAAGAGCATAGATAAATCAAAATAGAGGACACTTCTTTAGGGAGTGTCTTTCTCATTGCCAAAGGGAGAAGTTGTTTCATCAACACATGTGAGTCATGACTTTTTAGTCCTTCAATCTTACGTTGTTTGACATCAATGCATTTACTGATGTTACTTGAGTAACCATCAAGTACAGTTATATTCTTCAAAGTTTTCATAAATAAATCCTTATTTACTTTTGACAATGTATATATAGCAAGAAGATATCTACTATTCTCATCAGGCCATAGATTTGGTCTAATACCCCAAAGTTGTAAGTCTTTTCTTGCCTTTAAATAGTCTTTGTATTTATTATTTGTACTATCATTCAACAATGTAAACATTATATCATCACAAACATTTTTTTTAATGTGCATAGCATTTAGATTGTGGTGCAATAAGTTATCTACCCAATAAGGAATGTCAAAAAACAATATTTTTCTTTTGCCATTATAGAGTCTCTACCTTAGGATGATCAACTCTCCATTGTCTTTTTTATCTTTCTTCAACTATAGGTTAATTCAACATGAACATTACCAACTTGTTGTAAGATATCATGTCCTGAGATTGCCACTGGTTTACTTATATTTTTAATAGTTCCATCGAACCTCCTATGAGCCAATCTAAACCTATGTCTTCCATCTAACCACCGACGATGACTTATAAAACAAAATTTCCCACATTTGACAAGCTCTTTAGGAGTAGTGTTAAAATTACATCTCAAACATGTCAATCTTGTATGTATGTTCCACCTAGATAAGGTTCCAAGTCCAGGAAAGTCATTAATAGTCCACAATATGATTGCATGCATATCAAATACTTCATTCCCATATGAATCAAAAGTTTTGATGTCAGTGTTCCACAACTCCTTCAACTCTTCTATTAAAGGTTATAAGTAAATGCTCACTTTCCGGGAATGATCATGGAGAGAATGAACGAACTTTGTTTCATACACATCCAAGGAGGAAGGTTGTATGGTATAAGAATAACTGGCAAAATACTTTGATTGGTGGTCAAGTTGCCATGTGGATTGAACCCATCAGTAGTTAAACTGAGTCTCACATTTCAAGGGTCTAAGGGAATTTGAGGGTGCATCAAGTCAAATTTCTTCCATACTTCAGAATCTCTTGGATGACGTATCATTCCTTCATTCGTACTTTCTGATGCATGTCATCTCATATGCTTAGCTATTTTAGATGACAAAAACATCCTCTGTAACTGAGGCTTCAAAGGAAAATACCTTAACATCTTTGCAGGAATATTCTTTCACTTATTAACATCATCATCACTAATTGTATTTCTCGTTTTTGGCTTCCAACTTGATGTCTTACATTTCTTACAAGAATATCTATCTTTGTCTTCTCCAACATACAACATACAATCATTTGGGCAAACATCAATTTTGGTATAATGAAGACCAAGCTTGTTAATGACTTTTTTTGGCTTCATAGAACGAATTTAGAACTTTAGCATGTTGAAATGCATCTGTTAGCAACTCTAGTATCATGGACATAACTTTATCATTTATTCTGCATAAACATTTGATGTGGTACAATTTCACCAAGAATGAAAGTTTTGAATATTTATCACATCCTTTATATAAACTTTGTTGTCCATCTTGCATTAAGTCAAACAAGTTTGTACTATCACGACTTCTAGTATGACTTGACTTTGCATCCAAATCGTCATCATTTGCCATGTCGTTGTTAGAACAATGGTGTGCAAATACATCATTAACCCTTTCACACATATTATCACTAATTGGAACTCTTCCACCATCTTCTTCGACCATTACTTGAGGAACTTCATTATTTACTATTTTCTCCCCGTGTAGAAGCCACATTATATACTCTTTTGGAAAAGGTTTAACATTTAAGTGTTCATATACTTCTTCACGAATTTTTGATTTCTTAAAATTTCATTTCTGACATGGACATATTATCTTTTTCCTAACTCCACTATTAGTTAATGCGAAGTCTAAGAAGGTATTAAATTCTCCCACATATTGACTTTTTTTTCGAGACATGTTTGTCCATGATTTGTCCATTAAAACGATCTTTGCTCATGCCAAGATGATTGAAAGGTTCGAATAAGTGACCATATTCAACGATGTACACTACATAAGAAGAATTTACTAAACTAATTATAAAACTAAGTCTTATACCAAGTTAGTTATAAATTTGAAGACTAAAAATAGTCTCACTTGCTTATGGAACTAAATAATTAAAAACTAACTAGTTCTCTTAGTTATGAATATATTTGCGACACACTAATGGGACAAAGGAAGAAGACTTAGAGGAAGAAGAAAACTTGAACTTGAGGTTTGCAGTTTGACTAACAATGGCGAGCTGAATGGCGAAAACGACAGCACGAGAGCGAGGGCAAGGTCAAGGACGAATCTGATTCACATGCGTGAAAAAAAATCTGATGCACGAGAATAAGAGAATTTAGGAAGAAAACGAGAAGAAGCACATGCGACCAAAAACTGAAGCAAGTGAAGAAAAGGTCACGAACTCGGGTATGAAAAATTAGAGATTTTAATAATTTCACATCTCTTACCGACGGTTTATTTCAGAAACTGCCATAAATAT